ATATATATACTTTTTTTATATTCTTTTCCATTATGGTTTATCACAGGATATTGAGTATAGTTATAGGGATCACTCCTAATGCTCCATTTTAAATGTGATTTCTGTAGCTTCCCACAAGTTAGACATGCTTCCCCTGGAGAGCACATTGTCCAGATCTGGCCAAGGGTGTTCTGTCGGGGTGACTGTAGGGTGAGCAATGCCAGCTCACTGCCCATTCCTCCTTATATAATGAGGCCAGGAAAGGTGCCACCCAGAGAGGTGGCATTGGGGATGGACAAGGAAGGTGTCAGAAATGGAATCTCGTATCTGTAAGGGAGTCAGTGGCCAGAAAGTCCATTTCTAGAACTAGAGGGGAGGTTCCCTGCTTCTTTTCCTGTGACGGTCAGTTGAAGATGTCATAAGGAGTTGGGGAGATTCCACTTGCACCTCAGAAAACTGAGGTAATTGTTGGGGAACCACTTCTCGTCACCTAAGTCTGTGACCCTGCCTCAGGTACCCCAAGTCACTGGGTGAACTGCAGCTTTTTGGTTCCAATTCTGCATGTGTCCAGAAGAAACGCAGAATATTAAATGAGGAGAAATTTGAGTGGCCAAAATATGTATAGCACCTCCCCATGTTGTGACTAAAATCCTGGCTGCATCTTTATCTTGTCATTTCCCTTCTAGGCAGTGGTACCAAGCAGAAAACAACAGAAATGGAGGCGAGGTGCGTTAACATCGTGCACCAGAAAGTAGTTTCCAGATCCAAAGAGAGCAATCTGGCCTTTAATTTTAGCTACAGTTCTCTAATGATTTTTTTATACCCTTTTAAACAGTGCTTTAAAGTGCTTATGTAAAGAAACTGTAACGTTAAGGTATACTAGCAGATCTTGAATGAAAGTAAATGAGATCAAATTCCCCAGGAAAGTCTAATAACAAAGTGTTACTGTTACTGTTTTCTTTTTTTAAAAAGGAAAGAAAATCCTCAATTTTATCAGAATTTAACCTACATGAATTGTAAATCTTCTGTTCGGGAATTTCAGACAAAACAGTGTTAAAGGATAAAATGTATATTCGTGGCAATACAATATGAACAGCTCTTCCAGTTTTTAAGAGGGTCTCTCTAGAGCATAAAGAATATTAAGAATCTTATTACTGCAGAATCTTATTACTCTTTCCTCCAAGGAAGCAGTCCTTTAAAAAGTTATGTCCTGTGACTTTTTAAAATAATTTGCTAAATGATCAGCCCCATCGATCAGTCTAGCTCAGCGGTTCTCAATTGGGATCAATTTGCCCCCTCTCCCAGGGATATTTGACAATGTCTGGGGACAACCTGGGGAGGTGGTGCTACTGGCATCCAGTAGGTAGAGGACAGGGATGCTGCTAAAAAGGACAGCCCCTGACAATGAAGAATTATCCCTCCTAAAATGTCAATTTTTATGCTGAGAAACCCTGATCTAGCTTATGGCATATACAATGATAAATGTCTAGGTAAGAACTAAAAACCTTTGGTATTGTCAGGTGTCCATAATTCCAACATGTTCACTTTATCTAGGGGAACATATATGGAGGTTTGACTACAGTGTTATTGAGACAATGCATATACCACTTTAAAAATGCAGCTGAGAATTTAGGCACCGCAGCATACAACAAATGCCTGGTGTTGGCAAAGTCATAATTTAGAACTATTCAGCCTTCATTTGTTTCTTTTAAATAAAACAAAAAGATCTCTAGGTTTTACGAAAATATATTAATTTTCCTTCCTTCTTTTCAAGATTGAGAAGATAGAGTGGGACGCTTGGACCTGTGTTCTGGGACCCACCTGTGAGGGCATCTGGCCAGTGCACAGTGATGTGACTGATGTGAATGCTGCCAGTCTCACCAAAGACCATTCCCTCTTAGCCACAGGAGATGATTTTGGTTTTGTTAAGCTTTTTTCATATCCTGTCAAGGTAATATTGCATGTTTATTATATATACTTGCTCAGTCTCATTAATAACCCCAAATCTATCTGTTCTATCGAAGTGGATTTTTAAATATTGAAGGAATAAGCAATCAGTAGTGTAATCTACAGTATCATGGTTATTTACGCTGTATAGAAAGCTTTGTGACATTATGTTTACTAGTTTGAGTCAGAGTCTCGTGGAGTAGAATTCCTCCTTGAAAGGCCGTCAGTGGACATCAAATCCAGCATCTCACAAACTGCATAGTAAGATTTTTCTCTACATCTTGGACTGGTGTCTTTACTAGCATACTTCTAGAGATGAAGAACTTACTACCACACAAAGCAGCCCAATTCATTTGTTAATTGCTCCATTGTTAAAATGCTTTGCTCTATATTGAGCTGAATTTTTTCCTTCAGCCAAAGTTCTGCCTTCTGAATCATTGTTGAATGAGTCCAGTCTTCTGACAGCCTTTTCTCCAGTCTAAACGTCTCCAATTCCTTCAGCCACTTCCCAAGTGACATGGTGTCTAGCTCCCTCCTCCCTCTAAGCATAATCCATTTTATCAAGTCCATTGACAAATTTTTTCTGTTTCTTCTTCTTTCAGTTTTATTGAGATATAACTGACATATAACACTGTGTAAGTTTAAGGTTACAGCATAATGATTTGTCGTATACACCTCATGAAATGATTATCACGAAAAGTTTAGTGAACGTCTATCATCTAATACAGATACAAAACAACAGAAAAAGAAGAAAAAATTTTTTTCCTTGTGATGAGAACTCTTAGGATTTACTTTCTTAACGACTTTCATTATATCATACAGCAGAGTTAGCTGTAGTCATCATGTTGTACATTATGTCCCTAGTACTTATTTATCTTATAACTGCAAGTCTGTACCTATTGACTGCCTTCGTCCAATCCCCACACACACACCCCCTCACCTCTGGTAACTACAAATGTGATCTTTTTTTCCATGAGTTTGTATATTTGCTTGTTTGTTTGTTTTGAAGTATAATTGACCTAAAACACTGTGTTTGTTCAGATATTACATTATTATTGACTGTATTCCCCACTCTGTACATTTCATCCCCCTGACTCATTTATTTTGTAACTGGAAGTTTGTGACTCTTCATCTCCCTTGCCCATTTCAATTCCATTTTAAACCGTCTCATCTAAAACCAGATTCAGGTCCATCCAGGTTCTGCAAATGGCAGTATTTCATTCTTCTTAATGGCTGAATAATATTCCATTGTATACATGTGCCACATCTTCTTTACCCATTCGTCTGTCAGTGGACATTTAGGTTGCTTCCATGTCCTGGCTATTGTAAACAGCACTGCAATGAATATTGGGGTGCATGTATCCTTTCAAACCATGTTTTTCTCTGGATATATGCCCAGGAGTAGGATTGCTAGATCATATGGCAGCTCTATTTTTAATTTCTTAAGGAACCTCCATAGTGGCTGTACACCTGAAAGTAGCACAACGTAGTTAATCAACTATACTCCAATATAAAATAAAAATAAAAATAAAAACCAAATTTGGTGATTCAGATGCAATCTGACCAGCTCAGGGTACAGTAGGACTCATCTTCTTGTTTTGATTTTATTTTTGCATTAAAACAAACTTAAGATGGCATCAACTCTTTTGGCTGCCATACCACACAGCTGAATCGTAGATGTTATTCCCCCAAATGTTAAGGTTATCCCCTATCTTGGACTTATACAACTGATTTTCTAAAATCTGAGTAAGTACAGAACTTTGTATTTGTACCAAATAAGATATATCTTATTTATTTTCCCTAGTTCCAGCCTGTCAACATCTTTGAAATACCTTTTCAAAGTATTTGCTTTCCTTTCCAGCATCCTCTGATTTCACAAGTGTGAGTTCCAAATCATGGAAAGAAAAAGACAGAACTAAACACCACCACCACCAAGAGCCCCCATTCATTTTGGCATTCTATTCATTAATGTATACATATCAGTAACAGACATTTAAATCTGTCTGACCATGTCCTCATGGAGATCACATTTCTGTCTCTAATCCAGCAAGACATCATTAAAACTTAGATGTCCTGCTGAAAGCCAGATTGTGTTGCTGGTATCCCTAATCTCTCCTAATACACCAACCAATAAAAGATAAGCAGTTAGTTCACAGTGAACCCCTGTTGCTGCCTAGTCATCATTACTTCCTTTTCCAAGTGCTTATCAACCTTGTGTGTAATAATTCACCCTAGAATTTTCCAGGGATTGCATCAACTCATGAATCAGTATTTGCCAGAGCCTACTTGTTTTCCCTTTTGGATACAGGAACCTATTTTTTTGGATGCCGCCTCTCCTGGTTTCTAAACTCTCAGCTATTACTGACCTTATTTCTATGGTCACATTTAAACGTGTCTGTACTCAAGGGCAGGAGCTCTCTTTGGCCCTTTCTGGTTTGAAGAGCGTTCCCTTTAATAGAGGACATCATTAAATGCTAAACATGCTTTCTGTTCATATTAAACCATCTGATGTAAGAAGTGTTCCTAACTTTTCTCTCTTTTTCTTCTAGCCCTAAGTACATCCTTTTTTTTTTATTTCCAATAGTTCACTTTATATTTTTAAAATAATTTTTTAACATCTTTATTGAAGTATAATTGCTTTACAATGTTGTGTTAGTTTCTGCTGTATAACAAAGTGAATCAGCTATACATATACATATATCCCCATATCCCCTCCCTCTTGTGTCTCCCCCTCATCCCACCCCTCTAGGTGGTCACAAAGCACCGAGCTGATTTCCCTGTGCTATGCAGCTGCTTCCCACTAGCTATCTATTTTATATTTGGTAGTGTATATATGTCAACGCTACTCTCTCACTTCGTCCCAGCTTACCCTTCCCCCTCCCCATGTCCTCAAGTCCATTCTCTACGTCTGCGTCTTTATTCCTGTCCTGCCCCTAAGTTCATCAGAACCACTTTTTTTCTTTTTTTTTAGATTCCATATATATGTGTTAGCATACGGTATTTGTTTTTCTCTTTCTGACCTACTTCACTCTGTATGATAGACTCTAGGTCCATCCACCTCACTACAAATAACTCAATTTTGTTTCTTTTTATGGCTGAGTAATATTTCATTGTATATATGTGCCACATCTTCTTCACCCATTCATCTGTCGATGGACACTTAGGTTGCTTCCATGTCCTGGCTATTGTAAATAGAGCTGCAGTGAACATTAGGGTACATGCCTCTTTTTGAATTATGGTTTTCTCAGGGTATATGCCCAGTAGTGGGATTGCTGGGTCATATGGTAATTCTGTTTTTAGTTTTTTAAGGAAACTCCATACTGTTCTCCACAGTGGCTGTATCAATTTACATTCCCACCAACAGTGCAAGAGGGTTCCCTTTTCTCCACACCCTCTCCAGCATTTATTGTTCGTAGATTTTTTGATGATGGCCATTCTGACCGGTGTGAGGTGATACCTCATTGTAGTTTTGATTTGCATTTCTCTAATGCTTAGTGATGTTGAGCATCCTTTCATGTGTTTGTTGGCAGTCTGTATGTCTTCTTTGGAGAAAGGTCTCTTTAGGTCTTCTGCCCATGTTTGCATTGGGTTGATTGTTTTTTTGATATTGAGCTGCATGAGCTGCTTGTAAATTTTGGAGATTAATCCTTTGTTAGTTGCTTCATTTGCAAATATTTTCTCCCATTCTGAGTGTTGTCTTTTCATCTTGTTTATGGTTTCCTTTGCTGTGCAAAAGCTTTGAAGTTTCTTTAGGTCCCATTTGTTTATTTTTATTTTTATTTCCATTTCTCTAGGAGGAGGGTCAAAAAGGATCTTGCTGTGATTTATGTCATAGAGTGTTCTGTCTATATTTTCCTCTAAGAGTTGTATAGTGTCTGGCATTACATTTAGGTCTTTAATCCATTTTGAGTTTATTTTTGTGTATGGTGTTAGGAAGTGTTCTAATTTCATTCTTTCACATGTAGCTGTCCAGTTTTCCCAGTACCACTTATTGAAGAGGCTGTCTTTTCTCCATTGTATATTCTTGCCTCCTTTATCAAAGATAAGGTGACCATATGTGCGTGGGTTTACATGTTTAAAATCCTTTTCAGTTGTCTTAGTTTTTGACTTTTGCTTTCTTGAAACGGTACTAAAGTTGTGTGTAGAAGACTTTTGTGTTCATCCCTGGTTTTTTGCTCCAGCTACCACTTCAGCCACTTTGGTTTCTTTAGATGCCTTCCTCTTTCCTTCTTCATTTGTTAGAATCTCATCAGATTATCATTTTGGGTAGCCTTTTCTAACATACACTTATGATTATGTCCAGTGTTCCCTTCATTGTCCATCCCTCATCCCAAAGCCATCTGGTAGCCTTCTGCCAATGACTCATCACTTTACTGTCACCTATCAGCCCTTCCTATTTGATAAGAACTCAGTTCTGTGTAGCAATTCCTCACTATTTCTACATTTTTTGAATCGAGACTGCTAGCAGGACAAGTCAAGAAGTTAGTGATACCCTGGTTTTAGTGGACTCAGGTTTGGGCAGGTGTTTAGATACCTGAAATCCCCACGGTACTACTGCATCTTGCTCCGGAGCTAGATTTAGTGTTGGTCTTGGGAGTGCATCATCCACATCCCCAGCCTGAGCAGGAGGGCTGTCTGTCTATCGCAGTAATTTCAAGCTGTGTTCTTCTACCTCCCAGAGCTCCAGGAAGGCTCCTCAGGGACAACCCCAGAAAACAAGGTAGGGGCTCTGGGGCCCCACTCCTGCTCCAGCCAGAGTCACTCTGTGTTTTTGTATTTTGTACATTGAGCTTCTGTGTAAGATTTTTTCCAAGATTTTGTTATGAAAATTTTCAAGCATACAGGTAAGATGAAAGAATGATACAGTGAACTCCCAGAAACCCACCACTTAGATTCTGTGGCTCATAGTAAATTGTTGACATCAGGATACTTACCCCTAACTGTTTCAACTTACATATCATTACCTAGGGTTCAATATCTTTTTAGTATTTTTTAAGTAAAATT